GCCTGGCCCGGCGTGTGCGCGGCCCAGGAGGGGGCAGCCAGGTGGCCAGAGCGCGGCGTAGGCTGGCTGTGGGTGTGTGCACCTTCCAGGCTCCGGGTCGCATTTACTCTGGTCCTTTTCTTCAAGATGGAGGGATCCCCGGGCCTGGACACTCCCCTCCCGGGAAGGTTAGTGACCCTGTCCTGTTTGGAAAACCCATGCTGCCCTCGTTTCCCTTTATGTGTAATTACGGTTGGATCATCTCTGTGCTTTGCTCAGATTCTCCTTCCTCCCTCTGGGGTTGGGGAGGAGGAGACACATCTGACCAATTAATGTGTGTTTGTGAAACAGGCAGCGGCAAACAGTCATTTCAGCTTCTAGGAATTAGACTCACACAGGGTGGAGAGATCAGAGCCCTTCAGGGGGAATATTTCTGAACAAATCACAGATTAAATTCTCTAAGAAACAGCTTCCTACCCAAAAGAGAGTGGGAAAGACAGGGAGGAAGCCTGTCTGTTTTCAGCCTTGTGTCCAGAGCCCCGGGGATTGGGGAGAGTCCCTAAGCCCCCGCAGGCCTCTCTTTTCTGTATTAAGGCTTCGCTGTGCAGCCTTGAGTTAATTTCACCCCTGCTGCTTTGTCTTGGGGGAGGGAGTGCTGGTTTAGGCTGTTGTGAGGAGATGACTATTCTCCTGCCACACACAATAGTCGTGTCATTTTATCGGGAGTGCTACCCCAGGGCTGAGAACTGCTGCAGCAGAGATAAACCGGTCCCTCTCACCCGCCTATTGTGTACACAGTGAAGGTCATAGGTTCAAGTCTTGTCTGAGAGCTTTGGATATGCTCCATCTCCCAGGCTCCTCAGTGCCATTTTCTTCTTTTCCAGACTGGGGCTTGCCATTGGAGGAGGCCAGACAGAAAGGCTCTTCTTTTTTGAGAGAGGAACAATGCAGAGCTCATTGGCACACATTTTTCAGAAGAATAGGGGATGCCAGCCATGTTGTGCCTGCCTCTTTGGTTAGCCTGTACTAACTTGTGGAAGTAGTGTCTGGGACGCTGGACTCTGGTGTTTGTGTCAGACCTTTAAGGAAGAAGACTGCAAGGGGAGGTTTCTATTCTTACTTGAACCGTCATGTTGAATTTAAAAAATTTTTTAAAATCACTTATGCAGTGACTTTTGTTTTTGGTTTAGGAACACCACTAAAACCCTGTGCAGAGTTAAGACCAGGGACCAACTGCCTTTTTTAATGGTGACTTCTTGTTCAGTAATTGCAGAACAAAATAAACCATACTATTTATCTATCCAGACAAGCTGTGAAAACAAAACTACTTTCCTTTGTATTCATTTTAATTGTAGTGGAAGGAGATGTCTTGCTCATTGTGTAGGAAGTCCCTTATCTGCCTCAATATGAGGGAGGAATTTGCCAGAGAGACATTAAAAATATCATTTTGGTCTTGGGAATTAGAGAGGAGAATGAGAACAACCTAGAAGGAATCCTATCTTGCCTTGTGTATCTTACAGAATAGAAGGGTCCACATACTATTTGGTTACAAAACTGTTAGTTTTGTAAGAAATTATTTGAGGTTAAAGAAGAGGTTTCCATTTAGGACCTTAAAGAAACTTTTCTCTGAAAAGTGCTTAGAAATAAAACTTATGGTGAGAGAATTGTAAACAGCATACTACACGGTACCTAACCAACTATTTCCACAGGGTTTTATTGAATAGGAACTTTAGCCTTCGGTTTTGGTAACGATCTTTCTGAGATAGTCTGTGGTGTCTCTCTCATCCCTTTATTTCTTTTCTTTTTTTTTATGGTACCGGGGATTGAACTCCGGTCCTTGCGCTTGCAAGGCAGGCCACCGAACCGCTGAGCTAAATCCCCGGCCCTCTCATCCCTTTATTTCATTGAGGTTCTTAAAATGATGGCCTGCCACTTACATGGTATTGGGGTTTGATAGAGAATAGGCTGTTCTTATCATTATATTTTTGATAACAGAACTGTTCAAGGCCATATTAGAACTGTCTAAGGTCTCTTGAGTGAAGCCTTAATTGATTCCAACCTATTTATTTTGAGTCTGTCAGCATTTATTTTCCAAAGCTGTCAGGTGACAGTGTAGGTAGAGCCCTCAGATTAAGTTTGCCCTGTTTAAGTTTAGTAGTTTCAGAGTTGGGCCCTTGCCACAAGGAGTCTTACTTGAAATTTTGACTGTCTTTCAGAGAGCACTTTGAATTTTTCTCCCAGCCCTTGGTAGGAAATATTTCCTTATGAGAGGTGTAGATAGCCAAACAGATTAGTGCTGCTTTTGTGTGAGAATACGGAAGCATAATTTTGGCTCCTGGTAGTAATTATGTTGCAATTAACATATAGCAACTAAATGACTGGAACAGGATAATTTGTTGAGGGGTTTACTGATTGCTCTGTCAAGTGGAAATGCCACTCCTTATTTATTTGACTCCCAACACTACTGCTTGAGCTCAGGTATGGAGACTGTATATAGGACTGATACTTTTTCTCCAGAACCTCTCACTGTGTCTTCCCTTTCTACTCTGCTGGGTAGGTACCTTTGTATTTTCACTGCCACTCTGTCCTTCTCCAAAGGTAACTGAACAATTGTTACTTCTGTTGTGGAAAACTGGCATGGATGGGAACACTGCCAGGCAGATGAAGCTAATCTGAGATGGGCAGCCTCGTGTTGTGTGGCAAGTTTTCTTTACAGGAGCTTAATTCTCACTTCTATTTGATTTTTAAGTACCAGTTTTCTTTTAAAAACAAAGAAACTACACAAAATACAAAATCACATATTGTATTAACTGTGCTTTATGATACCTGTCTGACAGTTGGCTGTGACAAACAAAATGAAGATAGGTGATGCTGATTGGCAGGGTCTGGGTCCACCAAGTGTCAGTGAAGTACTCTCCTAACTAGAGAACAGGTAATTCACCACAGCACCTGCTTGGCAAGGCGTGTGGAATTGGCAGCAGCTGTGCAGCTGAAGAGGGATTATTGAGCAGGTGGTTAAGGAATCACATGCCACAGTGACAAGAAAATACTTAGTCTTCTGTGGTTTAGGTTCAGTTCAGATGTGTGAAATTGCACTTTGTTTCACATTTCTCAATGCCTATTGTTGATTTGTTAGTGAGATGATAATGGAACAGAGAAAAGACGTTCTTCTGTCTTTTAGTTTACAGAGTAGCATGCCCCAGACATGGTCCTACGTGGCCTTATTGTATTTCTGGGAGTGCTGGCTGTATGCCCGATGAATGGGAAGGAAATAGTGGCAATTCACTGTTTCTAGTACTTGTTTTTTAGAGGGAAATGGGAAACAGAATATTCTTTGCTTTTAGTGTGGTGGAAAAGATTTGGCCCACTGGGAGTATACACAAGGTTTTATGCAAAGGATGTAATTGACTTGTTGCGTTATGTCTGCCTGACATGCCTATCAAGAAATTTGCATGTGTTTTTATTTTATGAAGGTAATTCTCTACATGAAGTTTGCATCTCTTCAACCGTTTCTTTTATTCACTTTTTAATTTTCCCCAGCACCTTTGTAACTTATTTTCTCTGACATTGAGACCAACATCTTTTGCTAGAAACAAATTATCATTAGCAGGCAAAATGTTCAGGAATTATCTATACTAGATTTTTTAAAAAAATAATTATAGCATTTCCTATAACCTGGAAGATGCCTTCCTGCGGGTACTGGGGATCAAACTCGGCACCTTGCTCTTGCAAGGCAAGTAGTGGCACCACTGAACTAAATCCCCAACTCAAGGAAGATGACTTTCTATTTTGAGATTTTCTGAAAAAAATCTCAGGTTTTTTTTTTAGAGAGAGGATGTTTTTTTTGTACCAGGGATTGAACTTGGGTCCTTGTGCTTGCAAGGCAGGTGGTGGAACCACTGGGCTAAATCCTCAGCCCTAAAGGATCATTGTTATATTTTGTTAATACAGTTTTTTTCACATTTAGGCAACTGTAGAAGGTGTTGGCATGGTACGTAAAATTTACAAGCAAGTTACTTAATGTTTATTTATTTATTTATTTTTTACCTTTTTAGCGCCTTTTTTTTGAGACTGGGTCTTGCTAGTCTTGAACTGTGTGGCCCAGGCTGGCCTCGAACTTGCAGTGATCCTCCTGCCTCAGCCTTCCCAGTGCTAAGATTATGGGCATATGTGTCACCACACCCAGCTGTCATTTTCTGTATGTGCTCCTTCTGTTGAAACATGCCTCAGTACACACATACACAATTTAATGAAATAACAGGGTACTAATTAATGGTTGACTGAAGGGAAATAAATCATATTAACTGGGTTACAGTTCAGGAATCCCTTTTTTGTCAGCCCATGTAAAGGCGCTGACCTTTTTTTCAGAGGAAAACACAGATTTGAGGGAAAATGAGGCAAATTGTGACTCTGAGGTCAGGGTCTTTGAACACTGCAGAGGCAAGGACATTTGGTAGCCTAGTGCTAACATTTAATTATTTAGTATTCACTTACTCACTTCTGGGGAAGAATATAAAGTTCTTGATTTTTCCTTTATAAAGCTATCACAGTTTTTTGTTTGTTTTATTAAACTGCTCGGAAACCACCATATCCTTTCCTGGCATTCTCAGTAGTTTGCTTCCTCATGCTTCTTCCCCTCCCCCATCTCTCTTCCCAGTTCTCTGCTCTGAAGACTTCTCTAGCAGCTTGGAAACACTCTAATTACTGTAGCTATTATAGTCACAACCCAGATCCTCCACCTCCTTCCTTCTCATGCTTTCTATCTTCTTTTCCCCCTCCCCTTGCTTTAGCAGCAGGAGTTGAACTGCAGTCTCATGAGCACAGTCAGATGTATGAATGAGCTTTATATCTTGTCAAGGCAGAATTCCAGATCCAACAGGGTTGATTTTTTTTTTTTCTTTTTAAAGAAGAAGAGGTTTATTTGGCTTGCAGTTCGTAGAGGTTTCAGTCCATAATCCAACTCCAAGGCAGGGATGACAAACAGGCCTGGCAGAGCTGAAACAACATAGCACACACAAGGTAGCAAAGGTAACAAGAGAGTTAACAGTGTCTCCCAGCCCCTTTTATCTTATTCAGACTACTTAGGGCAGGCAGCACTCACACCCTTAATCCTAGCGCCCTTGAGCCTAACATTGCATCATGAATCAATTCCAGTTTTACACACTCTAGAGCCAGCCTATGACCAACA